TTTATGATTTTTATTATCATTTTGCTTCGTGAGATTTTATATCGCATATCTAAACACAAGTTTAGTTTAATAACACTTGATGAAAAAAAGTATTTTTATTTGTTATCAAATTTTATATCAAATTAAAACTTATAGATAAATAAATTGAAACATCAAGAATAATAATTATTATTTCCTCCGTCTAAATTTATCTAACTTTTTTCATTTTTCGAGAGTTAGACAGTTTAAATTTGATTGAAAATTTACGCATAAAATTTTTATTTTTTAAAAAATAATTTAAACCATCTAAAAGATACTATAAATAACAATAACTGATAATTAAAATATTTAAATATCTACAAAAAAAACTTACCATAAAAATTAAATTTATTAAAATTTCGAAATCTAAAAAGTGTCATAGTAAATCGGAGGGAGTAATCCAAGGCAGTGAGTGCAATATGCAGAAATAGGGTTACAATGATATCATTTAACTTTTGGTGGTAATCAAGTACACACTCACGGCTTTAAATTTGTGGTCATACTATCACTAAGTACAGTACTATATCATATACCCTATTTTGAAATCGTAGATTCGTTTAATTTGGAATAAATTATTTTCTACGTTTAATTTGGGATAAATTATTTTTGGAATTTTAAGATAATCTCTGTATCGAGGTGAGTATAGGAAATATCAATCGTATTAGGTAAGTTTATGCGATAATTTCGATTCAGAAGGAAGGATCTATCCCAATTTATTAGTGAAGATAATTACCCTTCAAATCAATCGAGTCATTTAAAGAACGATTGAGTTATTTCATTATATTTATTTAACTTATAGGTGTAAATGATAGGATAAATATCACAAAAATGTCTAACACCTTTAGTTAAATTAAAAATAAAATAATATTCCCTCTGTCCCTATTTTACTTGTTTATATTTCCTCTTTTAGTATTCCTATTTATTTGTTCATATTTCCTCTCTTAATTGTCTCTATTTACTTGTCTGTTTTGACAAATTAAGAAAGGATAATTTTTTTCCTATTATATCCTTATTTAAACTTTTTAAAAAAAATTTAAATTTAAATTTGTTATTTTTGAAATCATAATTAATAAGGGTAAAATTATAACTTTTCTATACTAATTATTGCTATCTTAACTAAATAGAGATAGAAGGAGTATTAGGTTATTATTTATGAAATTATTTATAAATAAAGATAGAACTATGCTTGCATCACTTCGTTATCCTCTTTCTCTTTTTGATCGAACCATTGCATCACCTATTTAGACCCTTTTTTGCTTTTTGGCTAACAAGTATTATTAAGTTCCCATTTTTTTTAAAAAAATAAAGTTCCCATTAATTCGTGCATGTATAACTTTATTTAACAAAATTAATGAACGAATCTAATTTCTTTAATAAAATATATATATATAAAAAAAAGAAAATCTTTCAAATTCAAAATTATTAAGATATTTAGGAAAAAAATAATGAAAAGTTTCAAGATTCCACGTTAAAGTTTATTGTACTTGAAGGGTACAAAAGCTATACAACTAATTAATTTAAGCCACAAAAATCAATGTGAGATTAAATAAAGTTTTAAACAATGGGTAGACAATTTGACTATCCCATTGGAATATAATTAATGACCTCCCTCACCCTCTAGGCATTCTATAATCTTGTTTAATCTACTAGCTAGGTCTTGTTTTTTTTGTAATGTCACTATTAAATTGTGAATTAATAGTAAATTTGTGTTATAAAATAAGATTTTTTCATCTAACTTTTATATTGAGAAAATGAATGATGAAAAATATATTCGTACTATTTTTTCTCTCACTAATTTAATCAAAATATATATAGAAATAACTGTTGTATTGAATATTTATAAATGAGAAATATCAACGGAAAACTAATACTAATATATTTTTAGTGATGTGTGATGAAGCCACTTTGAAGAGTATTTTTTCTCAAAGTGGATTAATTGTTTTCAGTCATAAAAATGAATTTTTTAGAAGTAAGATTCAAGTTAAAATAACATCAAATTTACAAATGCTATTTTTCAACTCAAATTTATAGCTATGCCAAACATGCATGTAATTTTCTTTTTGAAAGACTTCATAATATTTAGGGATGAAAAAATTAAACCTAACTTTTTCGATTGGTTCAATTCATTTATATTTGGGTTGATTTTCAACCTGTCCATTTACTAGCTCAATTCATATTTCAATTCGTTAAAAGTTAAGTTGATATACAATTCGAATTGACTCATAAGAAATTTTGACAATTTTTTTTAAAACGACTTTTGCTCAATTCGATATGTTATATATAGAAATTGGGCTAAGTTGAGCCGTAACCTGTTCAATAACCTAAGGCGTAATCCATTTTGACCCAAATAATTTGAGTTGGATTGAGTTTGAGCCGATTATTATCTGAACTATCATGATCCGTGCAAATTTAGCTCAACCGGCCTAGTTGCTATCCTAGTAATATCCGACATTTTATATATAAATTACTTTTCACTTTTCTAGCTTATTATAGCGTTTGTTCGTATACGCAACAAAAGAAAAATATATACTTTGTTCGTCCACTTTTGATTATCATGTTACGTTTTTCTAAAGTCAATTTAACTAATCTTCAAAGTTAAATTATATTAAAGTAATTCGATTTTCAAAGAAAAAAATCTAGATATTTTAAGATTATACAAAGAGTACTTTTAATTATAATTTTTTGCATATTAATATAATTAAAAAATACATTATAAATTATTAGGTAAAATTTTTGTAATTTAACTGTAAAAATAAAATAGCGAAAACTAAAAGCGTAGGAAGAAAGTAAATTTTAAAGAAAGAAAAAGAAGTGAATAGAATCCATAAATATAGTTGTTGGGGCTGAAATGGACAATTTATTTTGAACATCAAAACTCAAAAAATAGGTATTAATTGGAAGGATTCCGATGATGAATATTGTGTTCCCTATGTCATCTTCATTTTTTATTTTTTCATACTTTGTCTTAACGAAAAATACAATTTGTCTTTGTTTAACAATTAGAGTATTCTGGAAAGAATTTAGTTTACACTAATTTATCTTTTTCTTAATTAATCAATATAAAAATATCACAGTAAATAATACTGATATCTATTGATCCAGATAATTTAAAAATGTTTTTATAGTAATTGAGTAAAAAATTTTGGAAAAATGCTTATTTAAGCCAAAAGTTACAAATCTTAGCTTATATTTTTTTGGCTTATATTTATCATTTTAATTCAATATCAAGTGCTCATGAGACATTTTAGGTTTACCCAACACTAAAGAGTACTTTAAAACTATTAAAAAAAAACAAAATAAGTTGATTTAAACAAACTCATACAAGTTAATTAAATGAATGCTAATGAAAAAAGACTTATTTACGCTTTTTATTGTAGATGACATCTATTAAGGCTGAGATTTTTGGACCAGTATCTATCACTCCATTGCAATTTAAATAGGTATAAAATATCTCTCATCCATGTACATACATTTTGAATTTACTATTCATATGCTATATATTTTAATGGTATAAAATATGTAATTTTAGTAGTCTTATTAATGTATACCGTCCAAGTATACCATTTTATACATTATATACCACAAGGATATACAACGTATACGCAATTTTTCATTTTCACCTTTGAGTCAAAGTAAAAGTACCTGTACATTTTTGTAGCATAAGGTGAGGATCAAAGTGCTCTCACAGTTTCAATACAAGTGTTTTAATTTAAATGCATATAAAAAAATTTAAGACAAAGAGAAATTTTGAATATTAAAAATTTGTATAATTTTTGAAATATAATGATCTTCAACTTAGGAATGTTGAAATGAAAAACCTTACTGCTCGTCTTGGGATAAATAAAAAAAATGAAAGAGAACAACTTAATTGTTTAATTTAATTATAGATATTTTTTATTTCATTTCGAAAACTTTTCTTTAAAAGATATACCACGCTAAAAAAAACTAGTACAATTAAAATATACTCACAAAACATAACTCAAATAATTATTAAAAATATAAATGACATACTTATAAAATTAAAATATTTTACGTTTCAACTTCAAAATTTATAGCAAAACAAAACCAGCAGAGAGGGAGTATAATATGAGTATAATTAGAGTAGGCCGTGGAGCCCCAAGTTATGGGCCCTCCCATTATTGCATTTCTAATCATTTGGCACTATTACAATTTTTATCCATTTCCCCTCTTTTTTCTGCGAAAGCCTAAATATTCCTAGTAATTAGAATGGGTCCTAAAAAAAAAAACAGATAATAATATATAGTACACATAAAAATTATATATTTATATATTATAGTTATAATTTTTATAAAATTATGCTTCATAATAAATTTTATGTCTGTTATAGAGTTTTTGATTTATATAATTCGTTAGATGTGTCCAATTTTATACAAATCTTTTTAGTTTTGTATAAGTTCATTTATACATTTTAATTTGGATGATAAAATATGTATATACATAATTACAAGTGTGTAAGCCGAAATGATATATATTTATATTTGTATATACACTTTTCTTTCGCTTTATACAAACACAAATGCATTTTATACATTTGTATACCGAATGAGTTATTGTATAGCGAAAAGGACTAATTGTATATCGGTTGCTCACTAAAAGTACAGGCCGGATCCAAACCAAATTGTGAAAGACCCCTTTTCCCTTATGTCACTCGAGAATGGAACCAGATGACAAAAAAAATTGAATGTTTGCTGCGAAGTTCTAATAAAATAAATTATGACATTTAATAATTGCTATTTCATACAATTTTTTCCTATTTTTAATTGCTTAATTTTTATTACTTCCATCATCCCTAATTACTTGTTCACATCTCATTTTTTTTTATTTCTAATTACTTGTCCATTTTGACAAATTGAAAAAAATAATATTTGATGTTATAATAAAAATGACACCATCAATTGTTGATATTACGTACCTGCTATTCGAGAATCATAACAATTACTTGCACAATAAGAAATAATAGAATCAAATGTAGTATCGCGTCTTTTATCAAATTACAAAAATCAATACAAAAATAGTGCCTAAATTACAAAAATCAATACAAAGATAGTGTTCGATTCAAAGTGGATCCGCCCTTGATACTAAAGAAGGGAACAACTTGTACAGTACTCTCTCTAATTACTTATAACTACTCACTACTTATACAATATGTTTGACAAAAGAAATTACACACTGCAAAAAATATGAATGTAAGGAAGAATTAGCAGATAACACTAACTAGTTCATTGTTTAGGCTGCCATATGGACCTGGCTCGAACCACCTCTCCTTGATCGGCCTCCATACGAATCAGATGTGTGCATTCCATTCCACTGTTTTCATCACCATCCGATGTTGCTATTTCTCTCATTGTTGTCATGGACTGCAGCACATTTGACAATTGACATTCACGTCGATACTCTAATGTCAAGCTCATTAAGTGGCTGTCTTCTAAAACATTAATGGGAACACTCTGCAAACACAGAAAAGAACAGTTTCACTACCTTCAAACATGAATCAGTGGCGAACCTTAACGTTATAAGATATGAGTTCTCCTTCTATATTCTTACAGTCAGGTGGTTCACCTAGTTCATAATAATGAATTAGTACACTCATCATGAGGCAAGTCTTCGCGCTGTCAATGTATAATATTGCATGTGCTAAAAAGGCAGTTACAAATGACTCAAAAGGCTTTCCATTACCTCCAAAATCCATCCAATATATTTGACATTGTTGACATGTTGATTGGCATCCATGTCACTCCACCGCGGCTATATCAAAGATTAGACATGACTAGTTAACTAAGTTATGCAAGGTAGCTGTATATGTATATATCAAACATCTTTTTTCTTTTGTGGAACATATAGGGATGATTAATATCTTACAGCTAAGCCGGAAGAGATAATTTGAGCGGTTTCATCGTTGAGTTTCTCAATCTTTTCAGAATCAATTTGTGCAGTAGGTATTGCAAATTTGTTGATGTAGAAAGGTCGAACTTCTGCTTTGACCTGCTCCGGGATTTTGGATAGCCTTCTTGTTTCTCTGTTCATTATCACCCACGTGCTGCAAATATTGCCATTTTTTCAGTAATCAATCTCAAAAAGAAAGAAGATACTATAGATATAGGTATGTTTATGTATACCTTGTTGCTTTTGTGATGATGTTGCCAGTGTTGGAGTCACGAATGATCCAATCCCTCCTCATTCCATTTTTACCTGCTGCATCTACCCATGTATCTATCTCTACCACATCTCCCCTGTAATTCTGAATCGCGTTAGTTTGTCCTTCTTTTTGATGATAATATCAAATGGAAAGAGGAAGGAATACCAGGAGCTATATTGTTCGACTTTAATCTGTATGCGAGTGACTACCCATATGAGTTTCCTAAGGCTCATCTCTCGTGTAGCCCCAAATCCATTACTACCAACCCCTGAGCTTGCTACATGATTTAGAGCTGTCTCCTGCAATATACTATCACATTTTTAACATGATTTCTTCCATGAGTATTTAGGCCAAGTAAAACTCAACCATACATTCAAATTAGGTATGGTCTACTAAAGGAATAAAAACTGACAATAACATATCCAGTGTAATCGGGTCTGGTGAGTGTAGTTTGTACCCTTACCTCGGGTTCACAAGTATATCATAATCAAAATCAAGCATGATAAAGAAAAATAAAAACAGCAAATAATACAGTAACCATATATCAACAATGTGATTCAAAATCATGGAAGATCGAAGTTGGAATTTCAAAAATAAACGAACCTGAAGGAGATTCATGATAGTTTCCATTGTAGCAGTTTTATCAGGCCCAATTTCATAAGACCTAATCACAAAAGACTGTCTATACACAAACCGCTCATCCACAAAATTCCCCAACATATATGAATGATTCACCGATGACGACGAAGACGATCCCGGTTCAATTACTACATTTCCCCTTTTCCCTACATGAACACCATTAATCTTCTTCCCGTTAATCGTTTCAATACTCTTCGAATTTCCGCTTCCGCTTGCGCTAGCGTTCACCGCCATCAATTTCTTCTTCATATTACAACCAAATTTCAGAATCCGGCATTCCTTCACCTGAAGCTCTGTGTTCGACAAATTAATCGGGTAATGTAAACTGCATAAATCTCTAATCATCATGAGTGCCATTTTTACGTTATTCTTCGTTCTAATTAATTATCTGCTAATGTATTGATTAATTTTGTAATTAAGGAGATGAGATATAAAATTGTTGGAGTAGGTATAACAACTTGGTGGAAATGGAAATGGAAATGGAAATTGATTAATGGGAATAATTAAGGGATTTTGCAGCTCAACCACCTGTTAATCAGTAGACAGGAAAAATGGATTATAGATAATTTAGTTTTATTTTTTCTCCATCACAAACTTACACGCAAAATTAGAGAAACTACTTGCTTTTCTGTTTTGTTTTTTTGCAAATCAAGGATTTCAAACTCTACGGCTGTGCATCAACAATTTGTTTCAATGTTCCATCAGCTCACATGTCTAGTATATTAAAACAAAAATATAATTTTTCATATTTTATTTATAATATTGATTACTTATTTTTTTCAAAATTACAATTATATGCATCACAATTAACATGAGTAGATAATAAAAGTGAACATTGATCTAATCAATTTCATGTTAAATTATTAATTCTAACTTGCTCAATCTGAGACCTTAAAATGTAATCAACTTGGTCAGTCTACATCTAATTTTGGGTTAACAACTATATTTCAATTAGCCTTCTCTTTTCATAATTGGACCTTAGAACCTCTTTTATATAATTGGAGTTGTTGGTGTATTGGACATTCACTGTTTTTTCCTTTAAAAAAAAAAGAAGAAGAATTAGTTTCTTGAGTTATAGAAGGAACCTAACAAATAGTTGGATTAATGCAATATTTTAGTAAAAGAAGTGTAATATTTTAGGATAAATGACATAAATCTTACCTTTTAACTTTTCGTATTACCATATGCCTTATTAGTTTTGCAATTTCCAAAATCTCTCACTTTTACGCATCAAATTAATGTATCAACGCATTAAATTAATGTATCTCGCGCATCAGATTAATGTATCTCACGCATCAGATTAGTGTATCATGTATAAAATGTAATATATCTTACTTAACGATTAATATATCTCGCGCATCATATTAATGTATTAATGCTTATATTATTGTATCAGTTTGAGATATTTTTGAGATTATAAACTTATAATAGAAAAATGGTAATTTTTACCTTAACAGTATGTGATTTTTGTCCATTGCCAATATTTTATTTAGAGGTGAGTTGAATTTTTACTTTTAGTGATTTTTGACTTTTATATAGTAATTATTTTTAAACATATTTGAGCAAGATATAAAGAGATGCTTTTAAGTACTTACTTTTAAGTCAAGAAAATAATTTTTTTTAAAAAAAATTAAAAGCTAAAAATTGATTATGATCACCTTATAAATTTTAGCTTATAAGCTACTCAAGCAAAACCAATCCAAACACCCTTATATTTGGGCTGTATTTTTTTTGCTCTTTAAATTTGTGATTTTTTATTGTATTGTCCTAATAAATAAGTGATTATAACCTTGATATCCAAATAACTCACAATTATGCGTTGGACACATTTATATTTTTTTATCATACATCTCAAAAGTTATACAATAAAGGCCTGACAATATGCTCGTGTACAACAAAATAACAAATAACTTATTTGTCGCATTACTTTAGATGTGTATATAATAATACAACACAAATTATATCGTAAAAAAAACAAAAAAAGTTATATTATATGTTGACAGCATAGTTTACAAATACGTTAGAGTGCAAATATATTATATTTTTCTAAAAGAAAAATACAAAATCACTCAAATATTTTTTTTTATTCTTTATTCGATGTTTAGAGACCATATTAAAAATTCAATTAAATTTGAATTGCCACCGCAAAATCAGTTAAAAATGATGCTCCCAATAAAAAAATTTTTATTACTAAAAATCAAACTCAAAACCTAGGCCTGAAATTACACAATTTCATTTTCAAACCGAAATTTGCCCAAATTTTTGCCCGTTCTACAGTGCAGCTATCTTGCAACAGCAACCAAATTATCATCGATTCGCAGAAAAAGGAAGCAAAATCTCAAGTAAATTCTCAGTTTCGCATTCAATTTTAGTTACTTATTGATTTGATGTTTTTAATTTCTGGGTAGTTTTCAACTTCTTATGTATCAAGATTCTGTCTTTACAGTATCTCGAATGGATCCGGAGGCTGCACGTACAGCTCGTGATTCACTGGAGCTTGTATTTCATATGTCGAATATTCTGGACACTGGCCTCGATCGTCACTCTCTTTCTGTTTTGATTTCCCTCTGCGATTTGGGTCTTAACCCTGAAGCATTGGCTGCTGTAATTAAAGAGCTTCGCCAAGAAAACCCCTCTTCTGCTTCTGCTTCTCATCAAAGGACAATGCCCCCCTCAGTGCCTTAGCCAGGTTAATCTTTAGTGGATTTGTCAAATTTCAGGAAAAGCTCTTGGTTTTCGGCTTCTTTTTTTCTCACTGTTAATTTTGTGTGTAGTTTCTCTCTTCGTCTTGATTGGGTATTAAGCACAAGGTGTAATGTAGTATGCTGCTTTGTCTCTTTACCAAGAAAAAGTAAAAAAAGTAGTTGTGTATGCTTGTTATTGACTGTATGTTCTTGTAATGTGCATTAGCTGATATTTATTGACTTCATTTGTGGTGTAAATAATTATGGTTGTCCAATCCAAAGATTTGATTTTTATTTAATCTGCCAACTGTCTATTGGAGACAACCTCTCTATCTCTGAGGTAGGGACTGGGCTTGTTACACTCAAGCCTCCCGGTTTACCGGCAAAGCAGTACATTTGAATTTCTAATAAGATCAAGGACACGTGTGTTGATTTAACTTGTTAGATTTGGTAATTAGATTTTGAATTTATTCGTGAATAAATAAAGGAAACAAAAAGGTAAATAAAGTAAGTGAAGAAAGTTGTATGAAGAGATATGGCTTCGATGAGGAGTGTTTAAACTGGATCCGGTTTTGTTCGAGTGATCTTAGTTTCAAATCCAGGAGCATTTGAGTGAAGTATGGAAACCTTGGAGGACAAGATTTTGAGAGTAATGCTGTTGTCTTTCTTGGTACTAGACCCCATCACAATTGTATTAAAACTACTATTTATAGATTACAAAGGTTATACACCAACCAATAGAAAAGCTCCACTCGAGCCCTTCTAATGGATGCTTTCCACGTGGGAAATGTCGTTAGTGGTGCCAACTAATATTCCTATGATGTGGTTAGGATATTTGTAAGATCATATCTGGCGAATCCGTCCTTTTGTCCCTTTTGCCACGTTAGCAAGACATGAGTCCCTCGTCATCTCTGAGCCACAAGTTCCCACCTTTTTCCGTTGACAACCATTCTGCGGCCTCTGGGGATCGCCGAGGTTGATCTTCTCTGAACGCATCTCCGAGAATAGTTCATTCCACCTAATTAATTTCCTTGAGCAAATTTTGTTGGTTTCACGTGTTCTTTTATTCAGCCATGTATACGAGATACTCTTTACCCAATACACTCCCCAGACCCCACTTTGTGGGACTACGTACATTATTGTTGTTCTTATTGCTGCCAACTGGTTCAAGTAAAGAATTGATGCCATGCTTATGTTGCAAGAAAGTGGGTTAGTTCCCTTGTTACCAAGATTTGACCATTAAGCGATTGTTACAGTTTAAACATTCTATATATTATTTACAGGCTTATTGATGTATGCTATTCAGTTCTTACAAAAAAAAATGTTTTATTTGCTTGTCATCGACTGTATGTTCTTGTAATGTGCATTGGTGACTTTGTTTCCAGTGCAAAAGACCATGGTGGTTCAATACAAAGATTGGGTATTTTATAATCATCCAAGTGGTTAAAGGAAAAATCTGATACCAAAGGCAAACTGAAACACTAAACCTTCTGGCCATTCAGCTAGTCTTACCGTTTAAACATTCTATATAAGCTGTTATATATCTAGATATTTGAATTGCTTTGGTAGATTCTAAGAATGAGAGAATTGGTGAATGTGCTTGGTTAGCAAATCACATGTTTTGTCATTACTCTATCACGTTTCGTGCTATGTGCGGAGTTACCAGCTAAACCATATGCCACAAGGTTTATCTCTATTGAAGAGTCACATCTCTTATTATTTGATGGAATCAAAATCTATTTGACGAGCTATAAAATTGTAGAAGGATTATAGGAACTTTGTCTGTATCATATTCAGTTTCATATTCAACTTTTGGTGTTGGAATGCCCTCTTGAAAAAGTTGTCCTTCTCATCTTCGGTTTTGGTTTATTTGTGCTTTTATCCCTGGCATCGCTAAGCTTCTTATTTCTGTTCATGGATGTTTACCTCGACATGGTTGAAAACTTGAAATATTGGATAATGTAATCAGAATTTCTTTGGTGTAATCTACATTAGAAATAAATGGTTAGGTTTTATTAGGTAAGAGTATTGAAGCAATGAAGTGGAGTATTGTCATTTTGAGGATGACTGACAAACATTTTAAACTTCTCATGTCTACATTAAATTTACTTCCAGTCTTGCACTCTCTTGATTACCCAGTAGATTTTGAACTAAGTGAATAGTGCATGATCTTATATATGCAAAGGCGTCCTTGCAGTTTCTTGCTTTTACACTTAAAAATCCAGCATTGTCACTTACAATGTCACTGTAAACATATGATAGGTTTTTGAGTTAGGAGTCTTGTTTCTCTTCTCAATTATTATGTTCCAAGCCTGATCTGGTTTTTTCAACCAAATATACTTGAAGGTATCACCCTTCTTCCTTGGCTTCCTATAAACAGTCAGCTCATCATCACTCTCAAAAAGCAAATTGATGTAACATAAAATCCTATCGACATGAGATATCTGCTTAAGTTATCTTGTCACATATCTTCCCCTAAGATAGTACTATCATTTCCTTCTATTGTAAATTCAGTTGCTCATCAGATGTATACGTAAAATGAACTCATAGTATGAACTATAATAATTGAGCCGCTTTAACGGTGATTCATCTATGGGCATGCAAGAGAAATGCACAGAAGTACCTTTGGTCCTTTCTTTTTCTCTCTCCAACAAGTTTTAGGGGGTCTTGAAACACAATCTGTTGCTCTAGAGCTAGTCTGTTGAAGGTGAATGTAGATGGTGCTTGGTCCTCAAGGATTTGGTCTCGTAGTATGGGTGCAACTTGTGATATATAGGTTAGGTGTTCGAATTTTGCCAGCCTAGTATTAAGTGGAGAAGGGTAGAGGAGTCGGTTTACCATCGAGTTTCGGACCATGTGCTAATGATCCTTGAGGATTTCTCGGTTATCAAAAACAAAAGTGAAGGTGGATGGTGCTTGTAGAAACTGAGGCGGAGCTGCTATCATTTTTCATGGTTGTTACTGATTGATAGTTACCCACCATCTACACCAATTTTCCACGCCAAACTCC